AGTAGTTAACAGCCTTAAGCTGATCTCAAATGCTGCAGCCGGAGTTCTAATGAAAATTGAAAAGAGACATCAAATTTCTCATATTTATTCAGTGTTCAGTCCTGTTTCCCTTCTAAAAATAGTTCTAGGCTCAGGATTCTATGTGACTTTCTATCTGTGTTCTTTTTCAATAGTTTGAAATAGTTCCTTCCTTCCTTCCTTCCTTCCTTCCTTCCTTCCTTCCTTCCTTCCTTCATGTCATATCAATGCACTATGTATTTAACAATATGTATTTAACAATACATAGCAGTAAATGGAAATTTCAATGTGAACTATTAATTTATGTAACCACTTCAATGTCCTGGCTGATATCCTGAGTTTTTGCCTCAGTATTTTATCTACTTTCCTTCTGATTACTTCTATTTATTAAGAGCATAAGGCCTCCTGCAGCATAACACCCCAATTTCATAATAATGCCACCCACCATTGGGAAAGTGTTCCCAAGCTTGAATAGACAGATTCTCCTTCATAAGCAACGGTGATCACTATGGCAAATGCTTCTTGACACGATTTTCACATAGTTAGCATTTGCAAACAATGATCTGGCTTTTTAGGTTGTTTTGGGAAACATAGCTTCTTCTTTAAGGTTAGTAGTTTAGTTGTAAGCATCTAAGTGGTTTAAATCTTTACTGTAATTTTGGGGAATCTGGGTCGGAATCCTGCTTTTGAGCAAGTTTTACTGGCTGGCTTCGGGAACCCCTAAATATGACAGCAGCAACATTTACAATTTTCACCATAGTGGCTTTTATTCTCACATCAGTGTGCAACATGTATAACACTCAAACGTGCTCTTTTCTGTGACACACCTGATTGGGAAAACCATTTTATTGTCCAATAAACCCAATCAGAAATAGCGATTCCCTTCATGAGACATTAGATCAACCTTTTACATATTTGTCATATTTTAAAGCCAAACCATTCGAATGTTTGAATGAAACACATCCATAAAAAAGGCTGCAGTTTGCAACGAAGGCTCCTTTAGCTCTGATCAGACTACTGATTCCAGCCAGACTGTAAAATCTCAGCTGAAGTTAAAACCGATCTGCAGACGATTACTCAAATGATTTTTTTGTCACATCCTCTATCTGATCTAAGTGATATCTTAGAGCTGTAGAAAAGTCTGGCTTAAACAGTTTGTTTACTCCATATGGTACAGATTTTCCATCACATACTGAAATGTTTCATATCCAATCGCTCCATGTTTGTATTCTAGAAAAAAACCACCACAGTGCTTCGCAATGCCTAGCAACCAGCTAACCTTTCCCAGCTGAGGGCTGTGTGGCTTGTGGCTAAATATGTGTATTTGTGATTAAGAAGGGGGTGAATCTCACCGAGGAAATGACAGTTAATATATGCAAAAATTCATGTCCCAGGGCAGAAGGCCGTTCACACTGAGATTTGAGGTTTATTACTGCTATAAGGCAGTTTTTCTTCTCTGCTGTTGCCATATTCGTGTTTAGTATGACAGACTGATAGAAAGTCATCAACACAATGCAAGCATCTATGCACTATGCATGAAGAAATGACCCCCAAAACCCCTTTTGCTAACTCAGACACTAACTGCACTAAAATCCTAATTAAAGAACTCCTTAACTATGTTGAAGGCACAAACTAAAACAGAAATAATCCTCAGCTCCACTGCCAGGTGTAGATGAAAGCCATTATGGAAAGAACATGTATAAGGTATAAGACAAACCAATTGCATTTATTTCCAACATACACAGACAGTCCTTGGAGCAGAAAACTAACCTTAATTGTACCATCCACATTGGGAAGTACAGTAGTGGTAGCATTATGGAGCGGGTAAAAATACAGTTTTTATTTTTTATCCACTTGACAATTAGAGATTATGGTGTTCTCCTATTATAGAAAAAAATAATACATTACTGTATATTGAAGAGAGTTGCTGTTAGAAATCAGAGTGCGAAGTACATCAGATCAGAGAGCAACAACGGTTACACCCAAGAAGCTGAGGAGGAGGAGGAATGGGGTACCTGTGAGGTCCATGACGACCGGTTCAGGAGTATCGTCACACAGCAGGACCAGTTTGGTCACTCTGACGTTAGGCTCAGAGGCATCTAGTGGAAACAAAAGATTCATTCATTCTTTTTCAATTGAGCTACAAACTAAAAACTTTAGATGAAATTAGAGGTAAAGGATAAAAAATATATTATTTTCATATTCTATAAACTCTAATGTAAAAGCTACTCTTGCTTTAATTTCAAACTATGATAGTTTGTTCAGCGGGTGTCCTTTAGCGGCTCACTAGTTTTGCTACAAATACTTAAAAGCCACAATGTAGACTTTTATATCTCCTCCCATCTTTGCTTTTCCGTACTCTGGTTTACAGTGATGCTGACTGAATATACTGTAGAGCTGTTAGTCTGTAGAGGAGGTGGTGTTGTGTTACAGCCATCAAGGAATCAGAGCTACATCACAGCCTGGCTCCTGGCTTAGAGATGCTGAGGAGAGCACGTCTGATGTTGCATTGTGTGTTCGAGAGTTAGCAACAATGCAATTATCCTATAGTGAGGGCGTATTTTTATGAACTCTGCAGTAAGGACAGACACCAAAGTAAACAACAGGTAAGCAAAAAAATAAATAAATAAAACACATTCACTGACCTGCAGTCATTGCTTTTGGCCCCAGCAGGGTCTGCTTGTACTTCACCAGACTTTCATCATCTTTGTCCATTTCCTGAATCTCCTGCAGTGTCTTCTGTGCCGGAGGATTGTAGTTGAGGTTCCTGTCATCCTCCTCCTCCTCTATGGCCAAATGAGTCTTGTCAGCAAGCAGACCTTAGAAGAAGATAGGAGCAGATTGGTTTTAACACTTGCATCCTACAGTATTTCTTATTATGCTGTAAAAAATCATACAGGTTTTACTAACTGACTTATTATGAAAATGTGTGCTTTCAGAGAAGAACAAAGTTTTTTAGTAGATTAGATTAAAGCAAAAGTCGTCACACAAATGTGGACCTTTAAAAAAGGTGTATAAAAATAACAGAATAAGTGACAGAGTTCAGAAAATGAACAAATTAAATACTGTACTGTACAGTGTTTTTTTTTCTTATGCTTGGTTTGTATATGCTTCTACCATCTAGCATAAGCAGTATTTACAGCACTGTGCAGGAATCTCAAGTTGGCCCTGGATTCATTGTGTTTTAGTTGAAAAGTGCCTAAAATCCAAAGGGAATATTAAAAAAGAAATGAAGATAACTACTGATCCACACCAATTTAATAAAGCAATTGTTTCTACAGATCAAATTCTAAGTATTGCAAGATGTAAGAGGTTCAGTAAGCAGAAAAATGGCCCACTGTCTGCATAACTCATTACTTTATGCAGGCAATCTGTACCGATATAGGTTTGATTTTATCTGGAAATTTGATCCAGGACTGATAGCTCTCTATAACCTGTTATTTTATTCTTGTTACTATCTGCATCTGAAGGTCTTAACAAGTTTGTGAATACCAGTATTATGATGGTACAATAGTAATAACACAGGTAAATTCAGTTGCTTTCTGTAAATGTGTGATGAGAATTTCCATATTCATGTCGATCAAAAAGGTTTGTTTGCTCAGAAAGCATGCATCAGTTCATTGGATTCCAGCTGCATGTGCCAAGCTCCCAATTATCTGAAGAACATGAGACACTCTGTGATGTTTTTCTGCACTCTAACAGCTCTGTTTAACATCCTCTGGTTCTATTTTACTGCTCATAATGAGATGACACTGTGTAAAGCACCCGCGAGTTGTGTAGAGAGGTAATTTGATGACTTGGGAAGGACACAAACATTTCCACTAACTCCTCTGTGCTTGTGTGTCTGTTACTTAATGGCAGTAAAAACCATCTAGATCCAAACAGCTGCCTCCGCCTAGTACCAGTGCAGCTGCTGTTGCAGCAACATTTTGTGTTTAGATGATCAAAGCCATGATGACAAAAAGAGTAAAATTTTACATTATCTTTCTGGAATACAGTCAGCTTTTCTCTTTTAATAATACCTTATATACATTTGAACTATATATAAAGGTTTGATTAAATAAATATTTAGCAAACGTTGGAGTTGGAAAATCTGAATTAATATCTAAAGTCTCCTCAGTTTTGTGTTTGTCAAGAAATAATTACTGTAAATTAATTTTTCAATTTGCCACTTTGGTTATCTAATAATCTAAGGACCGGAGGGGGTCTGGTTCGGGGACCAGTGGATCTCGTCCCTGCTTTTTGCGGATGACGTAGTTCTGCTGGCTCCCTCCTGCCACGACCTACAGCGTGTACTGGGGCGGTTCGCAGCCGAGTGTGAAGCGGCCGGGATGAGAATCAGCTCCTCCAAGTCCGAGGCCATGGTTCTCGACCGGAAAAAGGTGGCTTGTCCCCTTCAGGTTGGAGGAGAGTCCCTGCCTCAAGTGGAGGAGTTCAAGTATCTTGGGGTCCTGTTCACAAGTGAGGGAAGAATGGAGCAGGAGATCGATAGACGGATCGGTGCGGCTGCTGCAACAATGAATACGCTGCACCGGTCTGTCGTGGTGAAGAGAGAGCTGAGCGAAAAGGTAAAGCTCTCAATTTACCGTTCGGTCTACGTTCCTACCCTCACCTATGGTCATGAAATCTGGATCATGACGGAAAGAAGGAGATCCCGGATACAAGCGGCTGAAATGAGCTTCCTCCGCAGGGTGGCTGGGCTCTCCCTTAGAGATAGGGTGAGGAGCTCGGTCATTCGGGAGAGGCTCAGTGTAGAGCCGGTTCTCCTCCACGTAGAGAGGAGTCAGTTGAGGTGGCTCGGACATCTTCTTCGGATGCCCCCTGGACGCCTCCCTCGGGAGGTGTTCCAGGCACGTCCCACTGGGAGGAGGCCCAGGGGACGACCCAGGACACGCTGGAGAGACTACGTCTCTCGGCTGGCCTGGGAGCGCCTAGGGCTTCCCCCAGCAGAGCTGGAGGAGGTGTCAGCGGAGAGGGAAGTCTGGGAGTCTCTGCTTAGTCTGCTGCCCCCGCTTCCGGATAAAGCGGGAGACGACGAGTACGAGTTATCTAATAATTTGTTTAATTGGTTTATTGTCTCCCACACCCTTAGTTATCAGCCCTACTTTAATGTTTTTCTTAGAGAGAAATATCTTCCTTCTTGCACACCTCCCATGAAGTGTTAAGCTTGTGCAACCTTTTTTTATGTTGGCTGAGAGGTGCAAACACACCTCAAGTACATAAAGGCAATTTAAATACAAATTTAAAGTTGAATCCAATTTGCAAAACATGTAGTTTGAAAGCATAAAAAGTACTGCAAGCACTAAATGGAACCTGCATACACTGAAATATACAAACCACATGCAAAGGAAACATGCTGAAAGTAGCCAAACCAAAAAAAGCTGAAAACTAGGTCTAAATAACAACTGTACTCCAGACCATTAGGGAGAGTCAACAATCCAATCATTCTATACCAGCCTATAGACCAGTGCTTTAGTAAAGACATCGTCAGGGTGCCTGTCAAGAGGACAGTAAGACAAAAGCAGTGCCCTCCTGCCAAAGTTTGATTTTAGCCAATCAAGCAGTGGAGGCTGGCCAATAGAGATAATTAAATTATAAAATTTCAATATTTTGAAATATAGTCGTTGTTTTTATGTGCAAGATAAATATTCTTTAAGCACATGGTAAGCTTTTTTTTTTGTCGCATTGGTGACGTATTTCCACCCTGGGGTGCAAAATTCTTTGTCCATAGACTCTCATTTAAAGTTGTACATGCGCAGTAGCTCCCCTGCAATGCAAAGGTATAGGAGAGCTGACAGGAACTTTCGTCACAGTCGTAGTGCAGCTGATTGACAGGTGGAGTAGCGGAAGTGAGGTCCCTTAAAGCAAACTTACCAAGAGAAGCTCCAGGTGAAAGGCTTTGGACCTGATCAGCCAAACATTGAAATTAATCAGCAGTTAGTCCAAAGAGAGATTGTCTCTTTGGAGAGGACCTAGTTTAGCTACAAGGCTTGGCTAACTGCATGCAGCAAGGCTAAAGCTTTATTCTGCTTTCCTGCCTCCTCTTTAAAACGTCAGGATCTGACCTAGCATAGATAAAGACAGGTAGGAGTGATTTAAAGCACTTTTTAGAAAAAGCAAAGAATAATGAACAATCTGGGATTCACATGGAAAATAACATAATATATTGTACTTTTTCTAGGTGTTTGTTAATTTGCATAGTTGCTCTTAAATAAACACATTCTCAGAAAATAAACAGTTGTTATATATAAAAAATATAAAGACTGAATAGCTTCTCCATTTTTAAACTGGTACATTATGTTTTTAGGTTTTTGACACCATATTACACACATTTGCCTTCACAAAGCCTAAACCTGTACATGAAATTATGTTGTTTTTTTTATAAAGTGTTTTATAATTTTTTTTTTTTTTTTTTGTTGCTGCTAATTTATAAAGAAATACTGGTGTGATAACTTAGTATACGTCTGATACTGAAAACTCCACCAGCCGCTGCTGCAATCAAGGTCACAAATGAAAATGTCCGAAGAGACGCTACGGTTCAATCCAAATACCTCAAATCGTAAGGACACTTAATCCACGGCAGAACTGTGTCTGATGTCGCTGTAGTGCTTTCCAAAATAGGGCTGGCAGTGAGGTAGGAGCTAGAACCAGGAAGTAGGATGCTTTCTTCCATCAATTCATTCAGCAGAGGGGCCTTCTGACCTCCCTTGTGGCGGTTAAGAATTATATGATCCTTGACCAAACTGGCACAGCCCACTACACAAAGTTGGAAAAAATTAAACATTATTTCATGACGTATATCGTGTGTGAAACATGCTAATATCCTCATCTTCATGTAGAGTTCATGGAGAGTTTCATCCTTATGCTAAATATTTGTAACTTATTTTTTCCCCAAGGCTGTAGTCCCAAGTTGACCAACATCATTCATGTGTGTGTCCATCGCAAAATGACATTCATAGGGTTGAAGGCTGTCTGGAGAATCCTTCATGCCCCTGATAGTGTTCTTACTTTGGACCCCAAGAAAGGTGGGCGATTGGAGCAAGGAACAGGATGTGGGAGCTGCAACTTGATGCATTTGGCTTGAGCCCCTCAGAAACCCCATCTTGACCGTTATACGGTTATACTCTTGCTGTTCCACATTCGAACATGAAATCTAGGATTCTGACAAAACAGATGCAAAAGCAGCAGCTATGCATGTGTCCTTTTGCTCTGCCATCTTTAATTTGTGGGCTCAACACTTCTTCCACCTTAGCTATAAGTCCCTACTAAACCATAATACAAAAACGTGTTTGGCTGACTTGTTTTGAAGGGTTGAAGTGGGTGCGGATCAAGAGGGATTCTCTTGTGTTTAAGAAATGCAAAAAAAAACAGCGAAAATTAATCTTGTAGGCAAGGTTACCTGGTATTAGTCTGGTGATAACATTTAGATTCCTTTCTTTGCTCTTCTGTGCATTGCTTTTTGAGTTATCTTGTCTAGATAGACAGAGCTGGGCATACTGGCAGGAGTTTTTAATGTTCTCCACTTCTATACCATCCTCCGTAAAAAAGAAAAAAAAAAAGGAGCTGCTGGTTTTAAACCCCTTTAGGACCTCTTTAAATATCTAACCAAACTTATCTGCCTTTTTCAACCTTTTTTTGAAAACCTTTGGTTCTTAGCTTAACAGTCAGGAACAAACAAAGTTTAAAACAAAGACCACATTTTTTTGTGGATGCTGAATCATATCTTCCCAATCTCCTGTATGTGATGGGATGTGCTTATCTGGATAGGGAGCACCAGATAATGTATCACAAGTAGTGGGTCACAACCTTGTATTGTAGC